GAAAAGACATCCGCAATCTTCATTTAGATCTAGATCTAGAATCTAGATCTAATCTACATCTAGATCTAGATCTAGGCTAGCCTCGAAACTAGATCAATGATTTATAATGTCTGTCTATCTAGATCTAGACCTGGGCCATAGATCTAGAAGAACCTAGGTCTTCCCTGAGCCAACAGGCGCTGAAACTTTCCGAAATCACAAAAGAGTTCCCCTACCGGGTCTGTATACTTCGTGACTTGGTTCCCGGTTACTGGGTCTGTATACACTTCGATATTTGATTGTTCTTAATACGTGCTTTGGACCAATCGGGGGATTCCAGGGGGGCCTGCCCCTCTGTTTTAAGCCATAATTTGATATTTTACAGTTACATCTAGATCTAGATTTGAAATTTTCCTGAAAATAATTGATTTGCGACAGTTTTAGTGGCTTTATCTGTGATCTGCAGCAAACAGTACTACTGCAGTTTGATCCCCGAAGTAGTTCTTCTGTGTGCGGGAGTGAAAGTAAAAATGTACCTCATTTTCTGATAAAACAATGTTCCTCTTGAATAGTAGAAGTAAAAATATATCTGATCTATAGGTCTATGATTGAAGGAGGTGAGGTTGCCTGTTTTCAGTGGTGATATTAGCGAGAAAATGGCCGTCAAAGTTAGGTAACTTCAAAGCTAATTAGCCTTTGAAAATGAAAAAATGACATTATGTGTCTTAATAAATAATGTAATAAAATTCATGTGGAAATGTGTTTTTATATTTGAACTTAAAAGGGGTTATGAGCCAAAAATAAAAATTCAATAAAAATTTCCTAACTTGCAGAAAAATTCCTTTTTGTCTGATTTTGTCATTTTCACAAGCGCGCTTGATTTCACCATGCTGCCTCATAAATCTAGATGTCTATCTCTTCTACATCTCTTTTATTTTGTGTTGGATGATATTTTCTGTTTAAAAAAAAAAATATTTATTAATCTTTAAGCATTTTACCTCACGGTCTTCTTGTTCTTCTTCTTCTTGTTCATAATAATGATATTTATCTTCATGATAAATATATGAATGTTTCTTTTACTTCTATGACTATGATTCAAAACTGAGCCTAAGTTCAAAGTATCACACTAAAAGTAACCTTTCGGGTGGTCATTTTTCTCCTTCTCCTCCTTCTCCTCCTCCCACTTCGATTTCCTTGTATGTCAAAAAGTGCCCATCCACATCAATTTAGACCCTCCTGCCTCTCTCTGTCTGTCTGTCTTGTCTGTCTGTCTGTCTGTCTGTCTGTCTGTCTGTCTGTCTGTCTTCTCTCTC